TTAACGTTAAATTATAAAAATTAACGTAAAATCTAATAAAAATAAAATAAATAAATTTAAAATCTTGACGTAAATGTGTGAAAATTAACATAATAAATGATAATAATAATTTTTATTGAATTAATTAAATATAATTTTAACATTAAAAAAATAATATTCTTATAGTTTAAAGTAAAAATAAAATAAAATTAAAAATTAAATAACTTTTAAAATAAATCATATAAATTTAAATATTATCTTAAAATAAAAAAATTTAAAAATTATATATATTATTTACGTGTTAAGCTGTTATATAAGTTTTTATTTTTTAAAAATTTTATTAATTGGTCTCATGGTAACATTAGACTTACTGTAGCCTTTACCCATATACAACATTCATACTTTTATAAGCGAAACTTCGAGGGTTTTAGGGCTCTGCCATTCGCTGCGCAGAGCCAAATTAATTAGTCTGTCACTCGTCACCCTCGTTTCGAATTTCGATCGCTCTCTTATCGTCAAATTGCCCTAGGAATCCCTCAAGGTTCATCTTCTCTCTCAATTGCATCTATTCCTCTTTCGATGATTTCTTACAAAACCCTAATTTTCAATAATCTCTCTTAAACGAGCCTAATAGGTTTTCAAGACCTTTGATTTTTCTGTTTCTTCATCGAGGAAAAGGTATTCACATTTGAGCATTTTCTGTTTGTGTTTATTATTATTTTGGTTGGTGCAGTGTATTACGAGAATGTCTCGTGTTTATGTTGGAAATCTGGATCCTCGGGTCACTGAGAGGGATCTGGAAGACGAGTTCAGGATTTTCGGCGTTCTCCGCAGGTATTTTTCTTTTCTTTTTTTTTAATAAAGAAAAATATTGAATTTTGATAGAGACGCCAGAAATTATTGGTTAAATATCTATGGTAGCTGTGAAAAGTTTCAGGTTTGCTAACTTTAAATGATTATTTAGTTTGTTCTACAATTTCATACAGGACAAAAAGTCTTGCTTTGAGAGATTTGTAACAAGTTTTTCATTGGTTGGTTGTTAATGAAATTAAAGCAGTGTATGGGTTGCTCGAAGGCCACCAGGATATGCATTTGTTGAGTTTGATGATCGAAGGGATGCTATTGATGCAATCCGTGAATTGGATGGTGACTATAAATTCTTTTCTTCCAATTTTTACTATGAATCTTGATGTTTTCGGTATTTATTTTGTTTATATCTTTTGTTTCACATACCTTTTTGAAATATGGCGGTTTTCTATTCATATTTCCTTATACAAGTTGATCATTTTATTTTATTTTTTTATGTTTGGTTGTCTCTGTTTTTTTCACTTTTTGTGCTGCATATGCTTGAAATCTGTTGACTATCGAGCTTTGATATGTTAGAGATATGTCCCGACTGTTTGAGTTGCTTACCGATTTTCTTTGATATTTCCTCAAGTTGCTATTGTTTACTAGTATTTGGTGGCCTGTTGTTTGAGTTGTTTAGTTTATTGTGGTTGCTCATCCAACAATTAATTCTAAGGTTCATCCTCAATTCTGTTTAGTTCTTTTGGATCCTCACATTCAAATGACTTGAGTTCTTATCTATCCTGTTTTATTGACATTTCAATGAAATTCACTAAAATGAAATTCACTAACTACTTTTCTTTTTCCGCTTGAAGGCAAGAATGGTTGGCGTGTGGAACTTTCTCATAATTCGAAGGGTGGCGGAGGCCGTGGTGGGCGCCGTGGTGGGGGTGAGGATTTGAAGTGTTATGAGTGTGGTGAACCTGGTCACTTTGCTCGTGAATGCCGCTTGCGCATTGGTTCACGAGGCCTGGGAAGTGGCCGACGCCGAAGCCCCAGTCCTCGTCGCCGTAGGAGTCCAAGTTATGGGTATGGGCGCAGGTGTGTTTAGGGGTTCTTTTAGTTTTTCTGTTGGAGGTCGTAGAGGATGGCAGTTTCTATGCATTTTGGTTTGTAGAGGAGCCTGTAATATCGAAGGGTGCATTACAGTATGCCTTTTCTTATGCTAAGCAAAAGGCTTTTTTTTTTCTCTCCTGGCTTATATTTGTATGAGCAATCACTTAAGTGAACATAAGATAACTGGGAGAGGGCTTATTAAGGTGGACTTGGAGTCATGCCTGCACCATACATGCTAATTTAGGAATCAATAGCCTTTGGCCTTTTTTGGAAGTCTGATGTGCTAGAATACATAGTTCTGCAAGAATAATAAAACTGTGTCCAGTTAATATGTGCATGGCACACCAATTTTGTACTGCATATATCTATGTGTCCAACTAGGTTTCTATTTTACTGACAAGAAGCATTTATCTGTTTATATAAATAAATTTGATAAAGGTTTATTATTTTAAGTAAAATTTGTTTTGTTTCTAATGATTGGTCATTTGAACAAGTGTATGCAGGCTATGGAAAAAAATTACTAACTATTTTTCCTTGCTCATAAATTTTTTGTATCTTGTGGCAGGAGCTATAGTCCACGTGGGAGAAGATCTCCTCGGCGCCGCAGCGTATCACCTCGTCGTGGTCGCAGCTACAGCAGGTCGCCTGCTTATCGGCATTCTCGTCGTGATTCACCTTATGCTAATGGGTAAGTAATGCATGCTGAATTATTAATAATCATAGATCTTAATTTTGATCCTTGCTTCGTAAAGTCAATTTGATATGCTCACTACATTCCTTTGCAGGGATTAAAGTGTGGACATGAGCTGAAGCAAATCTGAAATGACATCTATGGCAAACTAATATGCAATACTGTAGTTCTAATAGGTTCAGTGAGCAAAAGAGATTTATGTTACTTATGTTCATTTCGTGACAATGAGGTTGTTAGAACTTGTGGTTTTGCATGGCTTCTACTCTACAAAGTGTTTCAGCCACCAAAAGGGGTGCCTTGGACACCGTTTTGCGTCGGCTTGCTGTCTTCAGCATTTGAAACTGGGAGGTCCCTTTCTTACTTCATATTGTTATCTACTTATATTTATCTGTTACGTTTTTATTTTTACTTAGTTACTATGGTAAATTTATCTTTATGAGGTAGAAGATTCTAAAGGGTTTATATGTTTTGTTTTGAGGTGTGATTTTGAAGTAAAACAGCATCCTTTCGCCACTTTACTGCATCTTAGTGCACATGGTTTCCCCCACTCATTGCTTCTCTGCACCACTTCATCTACTCGTGGTCGCTCCTGCATATTGTAAAAGCTTGAGTTACTTGCTAGTAACAACAATTTTGGTTGCAACCTTGTTGTGGTGTATGCATCTGCAACAAAGCTTCTAATTTTTTTAAGAAGATGAAGCTGTTAATTGGTCTCCTGTTATTAGCTTCTCTGCTCCTCGTCATCTACTTGTAGTATTGCTTCGTATTCAGCTAGAAACTGCAATTGCGAAAAACTGAGAGCAGACCCCTTCTTAGCATGTGCTCTTCTGCAACAAAGAGTTTGATCTAGCTTTGACCTTTGCTTCCATGGTAGCTGATTTGGAGGGTGTCAATACCAATTCATCTTGGTCTTGTCTAGTACTATTTTTTGATCATGGGTAAATGTTCATATATATGCTTGGAGACATGTTGGGAACTGTTGGTATGGCACCTTTTCTGTCTCCATTGTGACAACATGTTTTTGAAGGTTGCATTCAGCGTGGAAGCTGCTACAACCTGCACCAACTTTATTGTTGATCATCTAAGTGATGATTATCTGCAAAGGCCTGAAGGAAAGTAGGTGGGAAGTAACCGTCCTGCCTTCTGCTGTGTCTTTCCTCGTTTTCCCCCCTTTATATTTGGGTTGAGAGGAGGGGGGGTGGAGGCGTCTTGTATATTTGCTATTCCCTTTGGCCACTGTATTTCACAGAAATTTAGATACATTAATATGGCTAATGGTAAATGGTTGGACTTGCCTGTTCGGCCCATTTCTATATTCTAAGTTTGGATGTTCTGCTGTTCCATTTACATGACGCCTATAACAATATTTGATATTTCAAGACTAATGATATGCTTGGACTTGGTCAAAAAAAAGAAAAAAAACAAAGCTAATATTATGCTTGGTAGTTCTAGTTCAAAATTCACCTTGTGAAAGGAAATCTGGGTGTGCAAATTTCAGCACAACATCCTTTCTCTTGGTGTTTTAATCCGTCATAATTGACAAGCTTAAGAAGCAATGCCCCGTGGCACTAAAAGTTGCCCCTTTCTCCTCGTCTCTGTGATGTATCCTTGTTTCCTCACCTTGACTTTTCCCACATTTCACTGAAAGCTTTTGTCTGTACTTGGTTAGTTTAAGCAGGAGCATCATTTTCGTTCCCCGCAAGCAAGAAGTGTTATTAATTTTCTGGGCGTAGGAAGGAAAGAAGAGATTTCATTGGATTGACTACGTTTGGGGAGTTTATATCAGTCAAAGGTCAACACTCCATTACCAATAAATGTATTCTTCGGTGTCCCCACCATAGTGCAAGTCTTAAGTCTTCTTGCAACTCCTTCCAACCACTCGGATAAAACTTTGATTTTTGTTACTCCTTCGCAACACTAAATTTTGTTAGGAAAGTGAGCGAAGAAAGCATGGAGAAGTAGTGCTATAATTGTTTTACCATGACTAGCTTATTTTACTGAAAACTTTATGAAATTCTACACAAAAATCTCTGCTTGATTTTTACCTCAACCCTTTGCCGGTTGTTGAAAAAAGGTAAATTATTTGTGCCAAGCTTGATGTAGAAATCCCGGAGCACTTTCCAAGTAATTGTTCCTTGAAATTCCCTCCAAGCACCTCAATAGGCGGCACTCATCAGTACAATCATACAAGTAGCAACAAATGATCTTTGCAAGCCATCGTCTTAATCTACAATCAGTTCATATCCCGGAAAATGAGAATCTAAATTTATTTTCTTGGGTAGGAAGGAAAGAAGTTTCCTTGCTTGCTCATGCTATTGCTTGGTGAGTTTACATCACGCAAGGTCAACATCCTTGACCAAATGAATGGACGAGGATGCCCTTGTATCCTAGGTGTTGCTCCAGAAAGTCAAGTCCTCTAGCCAGTCCTCCAACCACTAGCGATAAAACTTTGAGCTTTGTTAGCAACAATCGCTTTGTTTCGAGTGAAAGGCCATAGAAAGTGAGTGAGAAAGGGGCATGGAGGAGGATTATACCCGCATTATGTTGAAGCAGAAGCTAAACTTCTTTGATATTTTCAAACAAGCTCTAACAATTCCGTGCACAAGTAAGAAGTTCATTGTCTTCAGTTTTTTCACCTCCCTTCCTTTTTTCTGCTTCTTGGTTTTCTTTGAGATCATTCTCCAGGGACTATTCCTTGAAACCTCCAAATTTCTTGAACTACGTCCACACTACTCGTATTACTACTATGATCTTGGGAAATATGAAAGATTGGCAACGAATTTTGTCCCTAAATTAATTCAACTCTGCCTTCTTTACCTGATACCTTATCAGCTCCTGGAGTTCCTCATCGTGATCGTAATTGTTCCTTTGGCGTCAATGATATATACCGCGGAGAAACCAGTCAGCTTCAGAGATATGATGGTACGCAAAACAAGGTTAAAAGGTCCCTTCATTACATCCATATATGTTCATCTCTTGTCAACTACTATTCTAATAGGCTTAGCAGGATTTCTCACCAACTGCTGTCTTATGGTAAGGAGCTTTGATTATCACGCATACTTTGATATTTTGCTAACAATCGTTCGGGGAGTTGGTTGTACGGCATTGTTGGTTAAGTTGTTAGAGTGGAGTGCTGGATGGAACATGGCTTTAGTAATTTCAATATTGGAGGAGAAATATGGGATTGAAGCATTGGAGTGGGCGGCATATATTAACAGGGATTGTAGACAGCGAGGACTTATTTTGATGCTTGTTTTCTTTGCGTGGGGACTTACCGTTAGGCTGTCCTGCATCTTTTATGAATACAGTGATGAACTTGCAACTGGAAGCGTTTTGTTCACTTCCATATACACTTGCTTGATTTGTTTAGGAAATGTGATGAAGTGGGTAATTTGTGTTGTATATTTCTTTGATTGCAAGAAGGGAATTTCAGAAAAGAAAGTTGATGATGAGGAAGTAGGAAGAGATGTTAAACTTGTCAATGTTTAAGCCCTTATTGCATTTTGTAACCGCTATGAAAAAGCTGAGAAAACTAAGTGACTGTCATTGACAGAACTGAAGCTGTACGTACTTAAATCTTGTGCAGGAGTTGACACTGGATATTCTTTGCTCCCTTTTTAGATCACTTATATAATTGAGCATTTGTGGAATATTTTGCAATATTAACATTGTCAAGTTGCTTTTGAAATGAATAATGTTAGGAGTCATAATTTTATTATGATTGTAACTTATCAGTGTAATTTTTAAGTTTGAATGATGGGTTGTTGAGCACCTTAATTGATCTCAACTTGAATTCGGTGTGTCTGATGTATCAGTTTAGATTTCTAGATGGAGCTATTAGTTAGCATCCTAAGTAATGGCACAACAGACAATTGGCCAGCACTAACTGTCCTCTCTATTTGCAGATTATGCTTGCAGCTTGTTGAGTTTTCTAAGAATTAATGAACTTAAGGGAAAAGAAAAATTTGAAGAAGAAAGGTTTTAGGAGAAAACAGAGAAAACGAAGCAAGCTCTTCTGGAAATGAAAACTCCTTCTCTTATCATCTCAAATTTCATTCCAGCATTTATACAAGAATTTGAAAATCAAAAACTAACCCAGCTTAAATCTATCCTCGATACAATAACACTAGAAAATAAGATCTGTAAACAAGCAAGAACAAACCAGCATTGGTTCTTGAGCAGCTATAACGGTAACAAAACAGTCAACAAAACGACACCAAACTATGTGTTTTAGATTTCAAAGGAAATAAAAATACAACAAGAACTCAGCAACTATTGCTTATTCAAACGACTCCTTATAATGCGTTTTAAGCACTTCACTTCAGCTGATAGTCCCATCACTTCACCGCTGAACCAGATTCAAATCAGCCTTCCAACACAGCTACTAACATTTACCCAATTCAGACCTAATAAAACTAAATTTAATGTAAAATCATCAACTATGTACAATTGAGACCTTCCAAACTTTGACTCCAATTCTGTTGCTTTATCGCGGGAATACTTTTCTTGGGCTGGTTTGTTGATTATGGTAATACCAAAAGTCAAACAACACAACACACTGCCTTCCGGGGCACGGCATACTTTGAAACTTTGAAATTCTAAGCAGAGGCAATGATTCTGTCTAATCAGCTTGTTGCAATGACATATTTCACATTTTACTCAAATTTTAAGTCAAATTCTTTCCAACAGTTTAGACCCATGGTTTTATTTTAACGCGTATCAACTCACCCTGAATACCAGCAAGTAGGTTTGTGCCAAGTCTAGTGGAAATGCTATAACCTATTGCAATTTCCAATAACTCTGACCAGGAAAATGATCACGAATATATTTACACTTTTTTCTTTTCACAGGGTCGGAAAGAAATTTTTTCTTGCTTGATCACGTTTGGTGTCAAAAGTAATATAGTGTATGAATATGTCGAGTTTGATCAGTCAAGTTCTACCACCCACTTTCAATGACTGGATGTGGATAACTTTGTATGAGCGTGCTTTTGGGTCTCCCCAAAAGGCCTGAAGTCTTCGTGCAAGACCAAAAGAGAAGACTTTGTTCTTGATTTAACAACATATGCCTCAAGATGCTATAGAACTACAGAATGAGAAACATGGAGATCGATTACACTCAAATTATGTACAAGGAGAAGCTTGAATTCCTCGATATACTCAAAGAAGCTCTTACAATTCCCCAGAAACATATCAACTTTATCATCTTCAGCCTTCTCACCTCCTTACCTTACTTCTGTCTTTCAGTTTTCTTTGAGATTGTCCTCCAGCAAACGTTGCTTAAAACCTTCAAGTTCTTCACACCCGTGTCTTCAGATTACTTTTACTATGACTGGGAATCATCAATTGCCTTGCATGATGATTGGCATAGATCTAAGGGGAATCTTTCTGGTGAATGGATTAAACTCTGTCTTTTTTACCTGGCACCATATCATCTTCTAGGGCTCCTTAACATAGTCATGACTGTTAATGCAGCATCCATGATATATGCAGGAGAGAAACCAATCCGCCTCAGAGATATCTTGGTACAGAAAACAAGGTGGAAAGGTCCCTTCATTACATCAATATATGTTCTTCTATTGTCAACTTGTATTCTACTTGGATTAGTTGGTGTCGTAAGCAACTGCTATATTCTGTCGAAGGGCTTTGTAATAGACTACTATTTTTACAGTTCGAATAACATCTTTGTGGAATCATTGATAACCATATTCCATTTCACTATATTTATAGCATTGTTGATGAAATACTCAGAGTGGAGTGCTGAATGGAACATGGCTCTTGTGATCTCAGTATTGGAGGAGACGTATGGGATCGAAGCATTTGAACTCTCGACTTATTTTAGCAGGGGTAGTACCCGGCGTGGACTTCTTTTGATGCTTGTTTTCATTGTATGGGAAATTGTCTTCAGGTTGCCCTGCCTCTTTGGGTGGTCCAGTGAGGGGCTTGGAGCCATTTTGTTCACCTCTGTATTCACTTGCTTGATTTGTGTAGGGAATTTGATGAAGTGGGTGGTTTGCGTGGTATATTTCCTTGATTGCAAGAAGAGGATTTTAGAGAAAAAAGTTGACGAGGAAGTCGGAAGTGATGGTAAAGTTGTCAACGTTTAAGTTCTTATTCCATTATGTAAGCACTAGGAATAAGCAGAAGAAACCAAAGGGCAGTCATGAAAAGAAGCTAAAGTTTTATAGATGCTTAAATATTCTGATAAAAATTATGATGGCTTGTTGCAGCATTTAATTTGTTGGGAAATGTTGGTAGCATTCTAGTGGCAAAGTAGCACTTGAATCATTACATACAGATCTTACCACATTTCCGTTCTAATTTCTGCTATACTATTCCCTTTTGAATTCAGGGCCATTCCTACTTCCCTCTCTTGGCTCTGCTAGCTGGAGAATACCAGTTGATATTATCTATTTGTGTTATAACAAGAGAAATAGCCAGAATTTGTGTTACATTATTATTACTTCCCTTTGATATTGTCTATTTGTGTTGCAGAGGTCACCACTGCTCTATCTGAATGCATTTTACCCTCCCTTTGTTTGGTTAGAAGACTCATAAAATTTATTGATAAAGCAAGGCACTTTATCACATTGCTCTCTAGCTTAACTTTCAAGCTACTATGTCTACTTTGAGGGATGTTGTCTCCGGACTTGTGCCCATGCAACCCCTTTACCTATACCCCCATCCGACCCACTGCTATTCTTTAACGAACGATACTGTAGAATAAAGAGTCTGGTTTTTGTAATAGCTAAATTTAATAAGAAAATCATTAATTAAGTATAATATAGTTCATTTAAGAAACTGTTAAGGGTATATATCTCATTCAGTATATTTACACCTTTGAAGTTGGTAATTTTATATATAGTAAATTAATTAATGATTATATATAGATGGACAAGTGAGGTGATAAGCTAAGGTATAATTTTGCACTTTCAATACCTGTAAGTTCACATTGGTAAATGTTTAAGTAGAGATCATATATAGGTTCAACTTACAAATTAAGCAGTTTTTATATAAACTATAAAATAAGGGAAAAGAGAAAGGGTTTACGCACCAATTACTAGCACCGACTACAACGAAAGTCAGACATTGTCAAATCTCAACTGAAACCGTAAGTGAGACTTGCTAAAATTAAAAAGAAGAGGTTATGGTTAGATGATGATGACTTTGGTGGTGGGAGGGATGGAGCTTTCTTACCAATAAATAAAGAATCGATCAAGTTTAACCAATGGCTTAGATGCCCATCTGGTTTGACCTTAAGACATTCGTTCCTGGTATATGACCCAAAACCTCCACATAAATGATAAAACTCAAAACTCTCCACTACAGAAGTCATTGGACATGAAAGGGATTGAGATGCAGAACCAGAAGCTAGAGTTGTTTAGCATACTCAAACAAGCTCTTATAATCCCTTATAAAAATACCGACTTCATCCTACTTTCTTTCCTCGCCTCCCTACCCCTCCTTTGCTTCATGCTTTTCCATGAAATGATCCTCCACACAACACTTATCGCAACCTCGGAGATTATTAGACAACCCCCAGCTTATTTCAGTCATTGGCTGATCCCAGTCAACGCAACCAGAAGCATGGCTAATGATTTCTCTTTTAAACTGATACAACTGGGTCTTCTCCACCTGCTGCCCCTTCATCTACTGGAGCTCTGCGCTGTGGTGGTTTCCGTTGATTTGACGGCAAAAACATATACCAAAGAGAAACCAATTACTCCCAAGGAGATGATACAAAGACTTCTGAACAAAGCAAGGTGTAAAGGCATTCTTGTCACATCTTCTTATGTTTACTTGGTATCAACTTGTTTCCTACTCGGATTAGCGTGGTTAGTGACAAACTTCTATATTATTGTGAGGAATTTTTTCAATAATGTGTTCACTGCAGCACTTTTTAGAGTAACTTGCATAGCTCTGCTAGCGAAATACTTGGAATGGGCAGCTATCTGGAACATGAGTATTGTGATTTCAATATTAGAGGAGATACATGGGGCCAATGCTCTGGGACTCTCGGCTTATTTTTGTAGAGGCAGCGAGAGACAAGGAATTCTGTTGATGCTTATTTTCTTCACATGGGGTGCCGGTTTAAGGTTAGTGCGCTTCTATGGCGGATGCAGTGAGAAAGCCTGGACAAGTGTTATACAGGTTAGCTTGATTTGTATGGGGATCGTGATGAAGTGGGTGGCTTGCGTGATACATTTCTATCATCGCAAAGAGCACAGTCTACACCGGGTTGATGAGGAAGCAGGGAAAACAAGTCAAAGCTGTGCATGAAATTTTTTAAATAATCTGCCTACTTCTTAAGCAATATTTTATTTTCTTTATCTTCTGGAGGTGCAAAACAGGGGTCCAGCAGTCTTAGGATGTAGCTCAATAAACTTTTGTAAATACAAATTTGTTATCATACAAGTAATACAAAGAATGTACAACATATTTGACCCAAAATGTGAATGAGACCAGTTGATGTTCCTTTCATCGGCATGGACTACGAACAAAAATACTCGAGATCCTAAACCATTGACTCCCTTAATACCTCGGGATACGCCTTTCAGAGGGCATGGAATGGAAGGCATACCTCTGAAGGTGGTTTGGCATATGATCTAAAAAAGCATGACCTCCAAGCTAACTTGCTCCCCATTTTTATATTTCCTTTTTTGAAAAAATGGCAGTTGATTGAAGAACTGAACGATCTCAAACATCTACAGAATATATTTGAAAAAGAATATAACACAAAGTCGTGAATCAGATGAATGATGTGAAGGAAGAGCCATTTATATCAACTAAATGACCATAATCCCTTATGGACTTTGTAGGCTGGTAGAAAACAGAGAGACCAGTATCCTTCAACAATCATACTACAAATTCTCTTCCACATAACAATGACATTAATTGGACTTATAAATCCAGGGTTCATTACTACATTAGACCATCAAGCATGGATAAAAACCAATGCTCCCACAATAACTCAAAATTTGTAAATGATCTTCAAAATTTCCATCCCTAATGTTTTGAATCAATCACCTTCTTTGCAAAGGATGGCAAACAGAAAGCGGCCGAATGAATCTGAAATCAGGAACCAGCAAAAATAAAAGGGTTTCTAACAAGAGAATCAAAAATTACGAAGCCTCAAGAAACGTAAAGATTTAGCCAAAAAATGTAAATCACAAATTATTTTATCGCACAAGAATAAGGAATTTAGAAAATAGCAGTCACACCTCAGAGTTGTAAAACCTTAGGGGTCGTTTTGATTTGCAGCAGCTATCATCGGTGTCAATAGGGTTCACAGGATGCTTGAAGTCAACAGAAGGTCCCTCAGTTGAGCAAAGCATGAAACCAATCACACCACTGGAACAAAAACAAAAGGCTCTATGATGACAGGCAAACACAAGAAAATGCACCACATAGTTATATGGGTGCATAAGATATTCCCTCATTCAAAGGAAGAAAGCCTCCTTTGAAGTTGAGGGCATTAACAACATAAATCTACAGAGAGAAAAGGTGAGGGGAGGGGGGTATAATCAGAAAAGAAAGCAGTTGGTCACAGGATGAAGGAAGGTCATTAGCATATACCTTGGGTATGTAGGAACCGTAGTCCATGCATAGTTAATGGAGCCTTTGAAGATTTGGCGGCAGTTCGCTACAATATCCTCAATTATGTGCATATGTAGCCAGATACTTTCTGCCTGAGTACAGACCACTCCACCTGGACGAAGAGCCTTTGCCACTGACTCAAAAAAGGGCTTCTCAAAGAGCTCTTGTGCTGGACCTGAGATGATAAATAATGAATCATATATTTGCCAAACCATTTAGAACAAAGAAGACAATGCACCATTTCCAAATATAGCATTACCTATCGGGTCAGAAGAATCCACTATAACGGCATCATAAGTACCTTCTGGAACAGCCTTCAAAAATGCAACTCCTGAAATACAGAAGATCATTAATAATTGATATCATGCAATGGAGTATAAAAGCACCAAAAAATAGTAGACCATACCATCACCAATATGAAGGTTCACACGGGGATCTTCATAACCAACAGCTACATCAGGGAAAAATTCCTTAGAAACCTAGCACACAGAAGGATGCACATTGTTATAAGAACAAGGCTCTGTCAAGGTATGATTGGAAATTCCTAGCCAATTGCTCTAAATCATTGTAGCCTGAGTAAAAATTTACAGAAATGGCAAACTTGCATTTGCAGAAAAATCTTAATGTGTTAAGAAAGTCAGTGAACTAAACATAACTTGACCCACTTTTCATCAATCAATTACAACTCATTATGAATTATATAGGCTGTGTGAAAGGCAAGAAAGATATTCATTTTACTACTCACATCAACTACCATCTCATCAATTTCACAGATGTCAATCTGCTCAACAGAAGAATGACGAGAAACTTCCCGTAGAACTCCACCATCTCCACCACCAATAACCAAAACCTGGTGAAAAAAATATATATATCAGTTGGAATTGAAGACAAAAACAGGTATGATAACAGAGCCTATCAAATAATTCAATCTTATGTAGAGTAATCTTAAAAGCAACCCTCCAACAGAAGGCCATGCATTAAATAGAAAAACAGATTATGCAAACAAGTAAAATATGTCCAACTAAAAACTAAAAAACAGAAACAATTCCCTCACGGGTAAAATATCAGCACTTCATATATTTTCTTTACCTTAAGAGGTTCTTCAGGCAGGGGAAACTTTCTCATGAAAAACGTAGAGAAAAAGAAAACATTTAACACTTGACTATAATTGTAGGCTTTATAGCAAACAGAAAACAATGAAGTTTACCACAAAATTAAGAAAGAGAACAATAAACCAAAAATTGAGTCAACAAAACAAATTAAATCATTTCGGATGGATCTCAATAATCATTATATGGTCCTGTCACTACAATTATGAAAATTGAACATTTTTTTCAATCACTCTCTTGCACCTTCCATAGGCATCCTCTATAGTTGAATATCAAAAGAGAGGACTACTTTAAGATTCAAGCCATAATGAATCTAAAACATGACAGGAATTCACTGAAAATGTTCCGTTATGACATAAAAATCAGCTATAAAATTACTCATTAATTCAAACCAGCTAAATGCCTGACTTTGACATCTACTGATGCATACAACATTAACACTATTACAGTAGCTGAAAGACCTTCTTTGGATTTGGAATGGAGCAAAGAGGAAGGTGAGTAATCATTTCTTGATATGCACATTCATCCCTCTCTGTGAGCTGAATCACACCATCCAAAACAAGGACCTTCCCATATGTTGAAGACTGCAAAAGTTACCATGTTCAGTATTTCGCTTTAAAACAGGAAATTCTAGAAGAAACTAGACAAGGAAAACAGAAGCCAAAAAAAGTGATATTCTCCTCAGAGCATCAAATACCTGGAAGATCATAACATTCTGGTAATCAGACTTTCCTTGAAATAAGATCTTTTCAACCTTTAATGAATGTGCCTCTCCTGCATATTTCAGTATGAAAATGATTCATAAAAGATATTAGAGTGACTTCTTCTAAATATTTAA